TATATGCTTTAGAACCTGGGTTTTGGCAATGAACCGCCAATAAACTGAGGATCAACCATATAACGATGAAATAAAAGGGGGGCTATATTTCGATGATTTTGAAGAGTTTAAGAATAAATCATCAGATAATTCTCTACTTTATTACAGTTTTTAATAATCAAATAATTTTGTATTATATCTTCCTAGCACAGAAATCAATATTATTTGTCAGATCATAGATCAAAGAGGATCAATTACAAATATTCAAAAGAGCCTAAATATCTCTAAAAAGCAAGTCACATTTAATAATTTAAATATAGATCAATTGACATTTTTGTAAAAAATTTCTTGGATATTTGAAATACTTATAATTCAAAATGACAAATAGAATTGTACACAATTAAAAGATGAAATATATAATTATATTCAATAACAAGTGACTTCAGATGTTTAATCAGAAAAATTGTTGGCCTATTAAACAATTAATCTATACAAAAAAGTATCAATAAAATAGGCGAATTCAAATTCTACAAGGAGATTATTAGAATAAAAATATCAAAATTAATGCTACAATAATGAGACATCTCTCTTTATTATTACTAATTAGGAAGTTACCTAGAAAAATAGCATTAATATTTCATCATTAACAGAAAGTTCTCAAAAAGTTTAATCATAAATAGTTGATTTAATTTAGTTGAGGATAAATTTAGAAAATTAAAACTCCCAAAGCAATCTAATTGTTGATTCTCAGTTAGTTATGATGATTAAAACGGTTACCTAAATATTAATTGGTTCTGTACACTTAATTGATGAATAATATCTGATTATTTCTTAAAATGAAACCTCTCCCCAATATTATGAGGAAGTAATGAAGATATCTGAAACCTTAATTTAATTAATTGAAAATATTACAATTCAAATTAGTGACAATCTTTAAGTTAATGGCTAGGTTTTATCATTTTACGGAGCTATACTGTCATTATAACTTTAAAAAATTACTAAGTCAGTATATAACGCACAGTTTTAAATATAGTATGATTACTTAGATAATTTAATTGCATTCATACAAAAGTCATAACTAAAAGTTAGTTTTAATTATTATAATCTATCATAATCTTACAGAACCATGCTTCAAATTTACTTAAATAGATCAGATTTTGAAAATGATTAAAACTATTTTGTCAAATCATTCCTAACAAATTATCTTTATACTGGTTCTTAAATCAACCAGCTATAATTACAATACATATTATAAAATTGACATGACTAAATCTCAAAATTGTGATATTACAAATGGGATTTCAGAAATTCTCAAATATAATCACCTTTGTATTAATCATTTAGAAAACGATCAGTTTGAGAAATGTGATGTAGAAATCGAAAAAATTGATAATCAAACAACATAGCTCTATTGCAAGTGTTAATCTTTTGGACATTTATATTTGATAAAGGTTTCCAATAACTCTATGAATTAATCAAATAATACAGTAGTTAATTGGATGGCAGAAGAGTAATAGAAAATTGACATATATGAGCAATCTTTTCTACTTGTTTAGGGTGTATTTATTATATCATCTGCTATTGTTTACCTTTCCTTAGTGTTTCTAGAATATCACAAATCCAAAGAAATTATTATTGAACAAGGTCAAGATATGGATAATAAATTAGAGCCAGCTAAGGATGCACTTCAAATAAGATTGTATCCAAGTCATTTTATCATGTTTAAAACAAACTTCTAAGTAATTTTTTTGGTTATTCAAATAGTATATCCATTCAATTTTGTAACTTTGTTAAGATGATGAAAACCCTGTGAAAAAAAGCTTTAGATTTTTACAGATTAGTAATGAAATAAGTATTTTAATATTATCTTCTACTTGGGAAATCTTATTTACTAATATCGTAATTATCAATGCGTTCATAAGCCTCCTTATTATTTTAGTCTTTAGAGTAATTTCCAAAATAACTTAAGCAATTTATATGTTTGAAGGCAAAATAGGAATAATGATTATTTTACTGTATCTTTTCCTTCCTGTTATGTACTTTTTCCTTATGATTTTGGCTTTTAACTCAATAATGTATATTATTTTCTTATAATAGTGAAATGAATTAGAATTTCATTGATGTGTAAATAGCATTAAACCTTTTGAGCGCTTTATTACTAGTTTATTTCGTTTTTGAACCAATCGCTATATATCTAAGAATAGTTATATATAGACCGCTTTTCGAAAGCATTAGAAAAAATGAATTTAATCCGATCAACCATTTTTTTTATTTCTTTATCTATGATAGCAAAATAAATCAAACCTATGATTAGTTAAATATTTGATGAATATGATTGAATTTAATATAAAAATTTAAAGATGATTTGATTTAGAATATAAACATTGATCTTTTTTCTTTAGTAAATGTTGAGTTGTGTAAATTGATCATAAAAAGTGTTTAATATTAATTTTGATAATTGAAAATGATTAAAGATAAAAACAACTTAGGTTTAACTTACCTTCTATCATTTAAATTCAAAATATGCCTATGAATTAGCATGGCCAAGTTCAAGAAAGCTTTATTTTTCGAAATGTTATTCAAACATTACGGAAAGTTTCTATACGAAGAAGTCATATTTGATTATGGCTGAAAAATATCAAATATCATTGTTAGTTTTTAAAGAATCCCAAAATCTCGGCTAAAAACCACTTCATTTTTAATTTGCATCAAAGTATTTTAAATCTGTAATTTAAGCAAAAAACAAATTTAATCTTGTAGGATATTCATTATATAATATAGATTTGTATATTAATATACTCTAAATGTAAAGCAGAATATATTCTCATAAGTTATATTGTCAGGCCCCAAGAGGGCCCATATATGCG